CTACTCGTCGAGCATGGCATCGACTCGACGAGTACCCTCTCGATTCAAAAACTCAGACAATCTGCATCCGACTCGTCGAGCCATATGAACAACTCGATGAGTTGTTCTTCGATCTATGAAGATTGCCTTGGACTCGACGAGTTGTATGAACAACTCGTCGAGTCCCACCATAACTGAGTCTACCCTTCGACTCATTGAGTCCACCCTACCGCTCACTGGCCTCCACTCGGAATCACTCAAAGGGTAAAGATCGGGGACATGCGACCGGACTCGCCGAGTCCGAAGAACGACTCGCCGAGTCACATGCATGCATATCCTAAAAACTCGCTTCTGATTAAAACCACCGCATACACTTTATAGATCTGAGCTTCCTTAGTCCCATTATCACATAAAGATTCTATCTTTACGTGTCCAAAAGCGTCAATGAAGATTATAAGGCTCAAAAAGCATGATAAAGGCTAGATCTAAGGTTCTTATGCAAAGCAACTTCAAAAAGGCAATAGATCCGGGCTCTACAACTCCTAAATGAACAGATCTATGGATATCCCGACCTAATAAGGCATCCACACAACTATAAGGTTTGAAAAAACATCAAACTAGCCTTAGAAATGATCTAATGGAAGTTTTTAAGCATAAAACAGAGGGATTCCGAGAAATACCTCAATGAACTCTGATTTTGACCTTGGATCTTTGCCCTACACCACTTCTCCTTGTTCCTTTCTTCTTCTTCTTCTTCAAGCCTTCAAGAATCCACACAAAAACACTTAAATCAATCAAGGAATGGATTAGGGTTTCTCACAGCTCTCTCTGAGGGTGAAGGAGGCGAGTTTAGGGCACATAACATTGCTTAAATAGCGAGCAACCCAGGGATTTAGGGTTTCATCCTGGCAAGCAGACTCGCCGAGTCCCGAATATGGACTCGCCGAGCCGCCTACTAACACGTGCATGAAAACTCGACCCTACTCAACGAGTCAGTCCATAGACTCGTCGAGTCCCTCTATAAAACTTCTAAATAAATGCCACGGGAACAACATACCAGAGATGGGGCGTTACACCCCTTCTGATATACGTTGACCAATCCCATGAGTAATTCAAGATTTGGCCATTAACAATGATTACTCTCTCATCCACACAACAATCTTTCTTATTCTCAATAGCATAAATATTAGGAAATACATCTTTGAAGGCAATATTACCACACCAACGATACTTCCAAAAGAAAGTAATATTTCATTTTCCAACCAACCATTTAAAAAGATTAACAAACCGAATCCCCATATTTTCAAATTCACCATCAATTTGTGATATATTGAGCCAAACACCTTTGATAGACTTCTTAGCAATTGGTCTACCATCATTAAGCTTTAAATTATGAATTGACTTAATACAAGAGAACCAAAAGGAATTATACCCGTTTTTCAATCTCAACTACCATTTTGTTAAGAACGCCAAATTAGCCGAGTCAAGACACCCTACACCAAGGCCTCCCATGTCTTTTGATATATTAGATAAACACCTGATTAATAGCTGGAAAGTTAACTGACAGTTTAAAAATAGCTGATAAAAAATAATTTTGGTAAAGCCAACTGATGTTTGATAAAAAAATAATGTTCGATAAAGCTAATTGTATTTGCATGGAGTGGTGTCTCTCCGTTTGACATTATGTAGTGTCTGTTTTGTTTGTTTTCTATCATGTCTTGTTCTTTTAGATTGTGGTTTATTAATATCTCGTCGTTTCCAAAAAAAGAAATATATAAAATAACATTTGAAAGAATATGTTTTCTATAATTAATTTAGAGGTATACTTAAAATTTCTTTAAATGGCTAATGAAAAGCTAATCTACATATTTTTAAAAAAAAAACTAACTTATAAATTATTTTTTAATTAGCAAAACATGATAATTTAAAAAAACTCAAAAAATAAATTAATTTATCGGTTAGCTGTGGAGCGTTAAACACAAATTAAAAGTCGTGAAAAGCTTATGTTTTTATATTTAGTTTTAGGGTTGACGGTATGATTAACTACTTATCGTAACACACACACACACTCTCTCTCTCTCTCATTCATGTAGTCGCCGGCCTAAACCACATCATGACTACATAAGGATAGAATGGTGTTCACACATAGAGTTGGTTGCCAAATCCTCTTACACGACTCATGTACTTATCATACCCGATGACCTTATAAATAAAAGGGAAAAACTTATATCAACTTGCCAACTTGTTTGTAATAAGTCAATCACTAACATATATTTTGTTTGATAAGTTATTTATCATTTAATTTTATTCAATAGAATTTATTATATCAAAATTGTATTTTAATCGGGTAATGTTATCATATCGGATCTTACAGTGAGTGCAACATGAGTATGTGTCATGTCAAACACATCTAAATGAAAAAATTACGTCATATAAAATGTCAAAATGCCAAGACGTCATGTAACATCAAATACCAATTTATCCACTTGGAATGTACTCGGGTGGTGTAATAAGAACAAATAAATCGATAACCAATTGAAACAAATTAAAAGATAAAGGGACTAAGGAAATAACTATGTATGACGTTTTTCGGTTTTCTTGATAAGAAGACAAGTTTATATAAATGGTTCATATAGTTTACAAAAGTTGATAGTTTAGATATTTAGTCTCAAACTTTTTTTTCTTTTATATCTCTAGTCTAGTTCCTGATCTGGTAGATCGCTTACAAAATTCTAACCTAGAAAATCTATAACGCATATATATCGAATCATACATTCTTGATGAACTAGAAACCGATTTCCTCATTTGCTTTGGATTATTTGAATGTCCAAATCAGCACCTCTCTAATATGATTGCACCCAAAACTATGATCTAGCAAAAGACAACTCCTTTTTCATCGTAGTGATTCATATGATTTTTTGAGATGAAACAAGAAGCCTCCGGCCATTGATATGATGAAATGTATAAAGTATCTTGATTCAACGATTTGGAAGAATATGTTGATTCACTGTTTCCCAAATATTAGAGAAAATAAAATAATTACTACTTTTTGGGAGCTTCTTCCATACTTCAACGCAACATATTTACACCTTCTCAGTCAATATGTCATTTGTCCTGTTCATTATTTTTTCTAGGACTTGAGATCTTTTTCTAGGTTTTGAACATTTATTTATGGCTGCTTGTAATGAACAGCAGCACAAATACTAAACAAATGCGGTTATAATAATTTGAGTTTGTATGCTTGTCATTGTCATGTTAATCCAGTCTGTTGTGTTGTCACATATGATATGACATACCCTTGTATGCGTATGATGAAAATGAGCTTTGATTGGGGAAATTTGGATGCTTTTATTGGTTTTTTTACACGATAGTTCATTTTCATAAGATCGGCCTCCCGGATAAAATCATTAAAAAAAAAACCTCTGTTGATTCGATTAAAATTGGGAAGAATTTGAGCAAAGAAAGGATTAGTGAGGTGAAATTAATCAATTACGAGTATTTCAAATGGGAAAAAATGTTTACTTTATCACGGAATTCTCTGATAAACTGTTCGGACTTCTTGATAATGAAATTATGGCTTTTAGATTTCTTCACCCTTTGCTCAGTTGTTCTTTCCTTCTATTTGCCCAATCCTCATTGCTTTTCCTTTTCTTCAATACAATCTCTAATACGTAATTCAGAGGCTTTGGTTCCTCATCACCCATGGTGATTGATAGTTGATAGTTGATAGTTGAAACTACCTAAAAAAAAGCATAAATCCATATAGGAGATTTCAAATATGTCCTCTAATACACAATGAAAAAGAACGAGACTCACAGTTGTTATTTCTAAATCCCGACATAAAACTGCGTAAAGATCTTTCTAAATGAAAAGAGTGATAATTTCTACTTCCCAATCGTAACAATATAGAGTTAGTAACTAAACATAATATGCATGAACAACTTCATTAATCAAGCAAACAAAAACCAGTGTATTTATCGTCTCTCTTGCTTTTGTAATTTGGGATTAGGGTCACCAAAATTTCAACATAATTGACGGAAATAGAAGAGGTTAGGTTGAATAGGTCGAAAAACTTACTATAAGGAATCAAGAAGTTGAAAATGAAGCAGAATGAGAAAGCACGAATCGAGAGAAGTGCAAGTTGGTGAGATTGAAGATGAAAGAGGGAAAGGGAAAATGTTTTTTTGCAAATTGTAAAGCTAAAATAATATAAAATGGAGCAAAATAGCATAAATTTAAAGCCCGGCCAATTTAATACAACTTGACCCATAAGAAAATTTAGTAATTAAAAAACTTAAAAAAGAGATATTTATAAAACTACCATTTTAAATTTAAAATATAAGAAAATAATCTAGTTTTTTTTTTTTAATATACAACTTTTTCGAAATGATCCTCTATGTCAAATTAAAATTACCTTTTTAGGATAAAAGTATATTCCAAATATTCTAGATTTTAAACAAAATAATTTTAAATTTCATTAACAAGTTTGAAATCTAATAAATAATTCTGAAAATTAGAAAAATATTTTGATTTTTACTCGAATCTAATAAAAAGTTTAAAAATACAGCAAATTGAAAGTATATAATATACACAGGCTTAAAGTGTGACATTTTGTTAAAAAAAAAAAGACAAAATTGCAAGAATGGTCCCTGTGGTTAGGTGGAAATTGCCACTTTGGGCCAAAAAGGTTTGGGCTAGCATTGATGGTCCATAGGTCTGCATTTTATTGCGACTTTGGTCCAAAACCTTAACTGCCGTCACTTTTCCCCGTTACCATCCATTTGACTTGTCAAATGGAGGGTATTTTCATCATTCCATATTTTACTCCCTATATTTAATTAATAAATTCCTTTTACGTATCTATCTCTTACCGCCATACGGATAAAAGCGTCGATTATACTCACATTTATAGTCTTAATTACATAGATAGTCGTTTCCACTTCGATTTTCATTAACTGAGGATCAAGAACCCTAAACCCATTTCCAGCTTGTGCGCTTCGATCAAGTGAGTTGATCAGTTAATGCAAGTTCCAATGTGGAATGTGAGGTTGTATGAGAAAGCATTCAACGCAAGGTTGGTTTATGGTACGTAATTTTTATTTTGCTCACTAAGTTGCCTTTTTATGTGAAATCCTCTCATCTGAAACTTCTTTTTTGTTCTTGTTTTGAAGATGGATACCCTACTCTGTTTACCATCAAGCTACATCATGGGGGAGAGTTCACAAAGTTTCCAGATGTGAACTACATTGATGGAACTGTGACATATGTTGACATGGTCGATATAGAAGAGTTTTCTGTTCATGAAATGGATGCCATCATGAAAGGGTTAGGATACTCGGTTCCCCCAGTTATCTATTATCATTTTCGGTTGCCCAAAGGAGACATGCATTTTGGACCACGTGCCCTAGGAAACGATGATGATGTTCGTAATCTTGCCCAATATGTGAAGGAGCATAAAGTCATAAGGGTGTACACTGAACACGGTTTTACAAAATTGCTTACTTACTTTATGGCTCCTAAACCTGTTAAAAAGGTCACTATTGAGCAATTAGATGAAATTGAGGAACATGAAACCACCACAACTGATAACCAAGCTAGTGATAGGAAAAGGAGTTGGACCAAGGACAAATCTTTGTCATTATCCCCTGTTTTACATAATGAAGGTGCTTTGTCAATATCCCCTGTTTTACATAATAAAGGTGCTTTCTCATTATCCCCTGAGTATAATAGGAAAAGGAGTTGGACCAAGGACAAATCTTTGTCATCATGCAATAAGAAATTGGCCATGGGTGATGTTAGTGAAGCTAATGTAGATGGGGATAAGGATCATGCACCTAATGATTTTGATGAGGCAGCTAATGAATTTGATCTTGGATTGAACCAACAGATTTTAGAATCTAATTCTGAATTTGATAATGGATTCAATGAAGAGAAGGAAGGGGATGAAGGGGAAGAGGTAGTTAATGAAGTTAGTGCTAATGTAGATATGAGGAATTATGAGAAGGATGCTAGAGTTGAAGATGATGTAGATATGGGGGGTTATCAGATGGATGCTGGAGTTGAAGATGAAGTAGATATGGGGGGTTATCAAATGGATACTGGAGTTGAAGATGAAGTTACTCATAATGTAGCTGAGGATGAAAGAAGTGATAGGGAGGATGATAATGGTGAAAGAAGTGATGGGGAGGATGATAGTGATGAAAGAAGTGATGGGGAGGAGGATAGTGATGACAGTGACTTTTGGGTAGATGAGGATAACATAATTCCTGAAGTAGAGGTAGATATGAAGGATTTTTACATGAGTGTTGATCTGGAAGCTGAATTTATGGAAAAGAGAGTAACAAATCCCATGCATAATGATAGTGGTGAAGACCCTAAAGACCCTGAAGATTTGGATGTAATTGATAATGACCGATGGGATTCAATGGATGAGGGTTCTGATATGGAAAGGAAAAGGAGAGTTTTATTAAAAGAATTAGGGAAGGAGACAAGGTGCTCTCAAGGGGAGATACATAAAGTTACTTTTAGGATAGGACAAAAATATAAAAGTAAAAAGGAGTTAAAGGAAAAAATACAATTGCATGCATTGGAAACCAGGAGGAATATATTCTTCAAGAAAAACGACAAAACAAGGTTAAGAGCTTTATGCAAAGGGACTGTAGCCTTTAATGAGGGTGATGTTGGTGAACCTACCCCTTGTCCTTGGGTGATACAAGGTTCTAGATCAAATAAAGATGGTAGTTGGATGATTAAAACATATAACCACGAACACAGATGCTTGCATACAAGAAAAGTGAGATCTGCAACTGCAAAGTTCATTGGGAAGCAAATAATGGATCAGGTTGAATTAAACCCAATAATCCATGTGAAAGCTTTAAAAGAGCAACTGCAAAAGGAATATTAAGTGGGTTTCTCTATACATCAGATTTTCAGGGCTAAATCTAATGCAAAAAAACAAGTGCAAGGGGATTACAGAAAACAGTATGAGGTTCTCAGAGATTATATCTTAGAGCTACAGTCTACCAATCCAGATACAACTGTGAAGTTAGAATTTGAGTCTGAACCCAACTCCAATGCCACCTCAAGAAGATTTAAAAGAATTTATGTGTGTATGGGTGGAATGAAGAAAGGGTTTAGAGCTTGCCTGAGGGATTTTCTTGGTTTTGATGGGGCATTTATGAAGGGCCCTTTCCTAGGACAGATATTGACTGCAGTTGGGGTAGACTCAAACAATGGAATATACCCCCTGGCTTATGCCATTGTTGAGTCTGAGAATACTCAAAGCTGGAAATGGTTTCTTGAGATTTTAGGAGATGACCTAGACCTATATGCAAACTCAAACTTCACATTTATAAGTGATAGACAAAAGGTAAGTAATTGGTATCTTAAATTTACTATATTTGCATGAAATATACTAACTATGTTTTATTTCCTTACAGGGTTTACAAGCAGCCATTGCTCAGTTGTTTCCATGTGCTGAGCACAGATATTGTCTCAGGCATATACATGATAATATGAAGAGAACATGGAGATCCAATGAACACAAAGAACACTTGTGGAATTGTGCCACAGCAACAACAGTCCAAGAGTTCAACCACTTAATGAATGAATTCAACTTATTTGACAAGGATGCATATAATTGGTTGAAGCAGATCCCCCCACAACACTGGGCAAGAAGCCACTTCACAGGTAATTTCCAAATTTGCCCCTGAGGTGTATTACTTTGTTAGTACACTGTCTTACTTACTATTTACTTTGTTTTTGACAACATTTCAGGGAGAGCAATATCAGATATGCTTTTAAATAATCTTTGTGAAGTTTTCAACAGCAAATTGGTTGAAGGAAGGGATAAGCCACTAATAACTTGCTTGGAGTACATCAGGGAATACATGATGAAAAGAATCTGTAATGTCATCAAGGTGCAAAATAAGTGTGTAGGGCCTCTAACTCCTTCTGCAACAAAGATTATGGACAAAAATGTCTATTTGGCATCTCAGTACACAACTAGGTGGAATGGTTCAGACAAATACCAAGTGAAAGGGCCATGGCAGGATCAACAAGTTGTTGACATGGCAGGAAGGGTATGCAGCTGTAGGAAGTGGGAATTAACTGGCCTCCCTTGTAAACATGTCATAGCTGTCCTAAATGATAAAGCAGATAATGGTGAAAAGATTGGAGAGTTACACACTTATGTCCACAGGGTGCATTGGCTAGAAACTTGGAAAGCAGCTTATGTTTATAAGGTAGAGCCTATTAAAGGGAGAGCAATGTGGCCTATAAGTGATTGCCCAATTAAAATCACCCCTCCTCTGCACCATAATCAGCCCGGGAGACCCAAGAACAAGAGAAGGCAATCTGCAGGGGAGAGAAGCCAGAAGAAGGGAGAGAATGGTAATGGTGCTAGTGGGAGTCAAACTCATGCTGCAAGTGGGAGTGGGAAGCTAACAAGGAAGTTTATTAGTGTGACTTGCAGCAAGTGTAAAAATAAAGGGCACAATACTAGAACTTGCAAGGGCCAAGTAGGAAATTGAAGGGGTTTGAAGCTAGTTTGATGTCTTTTGGGTTTTACATGTCAACTGCTTATGTTTATTGTATGTTATGTACTTGATGTCTCTTGGTGTGGAAGATACATTGATGTTCTTTTTGGTACTTGATAGTACGTTACTAAAAACTGTATGTCTTTTGATTTATGGGAAAAACATATCAGAAATTTAATGGTATGGTTTATGGTATGTTTAATTTGATGTTAATTGCATAATTTACAATGTTTAAATCATACAATTGATGTTCTTTTTGGTACTTGATAGTATGTTACTAAAAATTATATGTCTTTTGATTTATGGGAAAAACATATCAGAAATTTAATGGTATGGTTTATGGAATGTTTAATTTGATGTTAATTGCATACTTTACAATGTTTAAATCATACAAGTGGATGTTATGGTTTATGGTATGTTTAATTTGTTGTTAATTGCATATTTTACAATGTTTAAATTTGTTGTTAATTGCATACATAAATGGAATGGTCAACATATAGATACCAAATATAATTTCCATTGACATTTTGTTGCAAAACATGTCTTACATGGATTACATTGCTTACATCTTGAACAAAATACTACTTTCATACAACTTACCAAAATATTACACTGCTTACTGCTCACAGCTTACATCTTCAACAAAAAACTACATACCCAACCTATTAAATTCTCAAGCTACTTGTAAAATATAACATACACAAAGAAAATCCAACTGCATAACAGGTAAATTTTGAGTCTTGTGGTCCGAGCCTTCACTTTGTTTATTGTCCTCAGCAATCCAGGTATGATGGCTTTTGAACGTTCACACATTGGACCATCATACCACCCAATAAAGCGACACTTCGATCCCTTCAAAAAAAAAAGACAACACATGTTCTTAACATGTAATACGACAACAATGATGCAAATACAAAATCCATTTGCTTACCTCAGTCGGGCATCCCCAGAAACGGCGACCTGGGTTTTTGTCGGTCCACGAAGTGCGAACAATAGCCATTTTACCACAGAAACACAACACCATTGTTAATTTATTCAGAGGGAAATTGTGAATAGTGATGTGTTAGGGCTTGTGAAGAAGACGGGAACGAGGGGATTAAAGCTTGAGGACAGCAGTATCATCGATCGATCTTATAGGAAGAGGAAGTTATTAATTAAATATAGGGAGTAAAATAGGGAATGGAATGACAAAAATACCCTCCATTTGACAAGTCAAATGGATGGTAACGGGGGAAAAGTGACGATAGTTAAGGTTTTGGACCAAAGTGGCAACAAAATCCAAACCTATGGTCCATCAATGCTAGCCGAAACCTTTTTGGCCCAAAGTGGCAATTTCCACCTAACCACAGGGACCATTCTTGCAATTTTGTCAAAAAAAAAAACACATTTCGGATATGAAACAAAACTTCTGAACAATAGATTTGAAATCCTTTTAGTGTCAATATTACATAGGCGCTGATAACATACTTACACAACAACCGGTGGTGGTGGAAGTTTGCATTGGTGTAAAAAAGGGAAATCTTCAGAAAAATCTTAATATTTTACCTTAATTTACGAAAAAATCCCAAATTAAAATTGGTTTACGAAAAAGTCCCAAAAACCAGTAAAAATGACGATTTGGTCCTATTTTTCGGGTTTACCGGTTTTATTACTTACCTGGAAACATTAAAGTCTCATTATTTTACCATAATTTTCATTAAAGTCCTATTATTTTACCATAATTTGGGACTTATTCGTAAATTATGGTAAAATAATTGAACTTTATTAAAACCGGTTAAGTAATGAAACCGGTAAACCGAAAAAATATGGCTAAATCGTCCTTTTTACCGGTAATTAGGACTTTTTCATAAATAAATTTTAGTTTGAAACTTTTTCATAAATTATGGTAAAATATTGAGAATTTTCCGAAGATTTCCCTGTAAAAAATTATATGGATGGAACGGAACAAATAATCGCCTCAACACCTCGTATCACTCAAGAGCAAGATTTAGAACATTAACGATGAGATACAAGAAAAAAAAAGATAATCACATTATTTTTAGAGAATATTAAGCTTCATTTTTTTTTAAATAAAATTTATAATCAAATAAAATTTTAGGGTAAAAAGCGTTTATGTTGAAAATTTTTTTACTAGTTTTTCATAATAATAATAATAATAAAAGATAGACAATAAATGGTCATGAAGGTGCCCGAAATGGATTTTTAATCCGAAGTTTAAAAAACTTATTTCCTACTTCCAACAAATATAAATATTCTCAAAATCGATTCCAGTGTCCGGAATTTAACGAATTTCACATAATTGATCATAAATAAAGCAATAAGCAAAACTCGACATCAAAATTAAAAATAACGGATGAAAACAACCACACTTGGTAATTACATCCATATTCTCCCAAATTCCCCAAAACCCAAACACATAATGCATCTCATGTATAATGAAATCGTTAAATCCCCAATAAATTCCCTAAATGTCTCAACTCACAAAAGTTACACCTTGAAACAAGGGTAAAATATAAAAACCCTCCTCTCTAAATAATTACAACAGTAACTAAAACTTTACTCCTTACCTCCTCCTTATGCCACCTTCTGATTAATATTAATATTATCATTTATCACCACCATTTCTTTCTTTTTTCTCATCCTCCATTTTTTTCTGTGGTATTTCACCTTCAACTTTTACACTTCGTTGGAATTTTGATTCCATCACAATTTCCTTAACAGTTTTCTCCAAGCTATCAAGTCTCTCTTTCACCTCCATTAACTGTGGATTAGACTTTAATACTTCCCCTTCTTTTTCCTTCATCTTCTTCGCCTCTTCTATCTGTCTCCTCTCCAATTCCTGCATTTCATTTTCATAATATTCATTAAAAAAAATTAATACTCATTTTAAAAAAAAAAAAAAGTGAAAGAAAAAAAGGGAGTTGACTTACTGCATCCATTTTCTTCATTTCATGACGTGCATATTGTGCAACCAAATAGACAGCTAATATGTATACACATACAAAAAAAGAGCATTTAGATGGAGATAAATTAATTAATAAAAAATGTGTCGTTAATGAGATAAGATTTATATGTATAAGTAGTACCAAGTGAAGGTAAGCAAACGAAGAAGAGTTGAACCAGATGAAAATCAAGTCTGAGAGAAAATCAGAAAGATGATGATAATAATAATCATGTATTTTAAGTAAGATGAAATATTATTATAACTTAAGTGTATAAAAGTAGAAAAAATGATAATACCCGAATTTCTTCTGTTTAGGTGGAGTGGTGAAGAGAATCTTGGCAGCAGTCATGAAATCAAGCTTCTCAAGGTCTCGATATGAGTCATGGTGAGTTAAAGATCCATCACTCGTTTTTTCTCCATCTCCATTATTGTTTGCTTCAATGCTCGCTTGTTTGTTGTTTGTGGAGTACAAGTGTTTGTTGCATAAAAGTTTAAATCTTTTTGATGATGTTCCACTTTGTATTCTTCCAGCAATCTTTCTCAGCATCATTTTTTAAGAAGAAAGTAGATGAAGCAGCAGAAGAGAGATTGAATCAGAAGATTCATCAATTCCTTTCATGTATTTTCTCTCAACAATCTTGCTTCAGAAAGATAACAAAGCATCAGCTATTATAGAAATGAAGTATGAAGGGGATGAAGATATGGTTTATGTGAGTTTTGACACCAGAGTGACAGCATACTACTAATTCATTTCTTGATTGCTTCGGATTAGTTTGACTTCGATAATTATATAATCATAATCAATATCACTTTTACCAAATCTCTTGTTGCTTAGAATCATATTTCGTTAGAGGCACATTTAAGAACTATTGATAGACACCATTGATTATGAAGAAAAGTATCGCAATCAAATAATATAAACCCCAAACCAAGCTGAAATATGATCAAAACGACCATCAACCAACATACAACATCAAATTATAAACAATCAACCAAGGATTTGAAAAACTAATATCCACTCGATGAAATCACGAGAGAGAGAGAGAGAGAGAGAGAGAGAGAGAGAGAGATCGGAGGATGTGGGGAAGGAGGAGGCGTCGGTCAGTGGGAAGACGAACCTTACAACCGGCGGCTCTGTTTCCCCTTTTGTGCTTTCACCGCAAGGAAGCAGTGGCGACCGCGGCGATGAGAACGCAGACGGTGGCAACGGTGGTCGTGAGGGAGGCGCCCGTTTCAGGGAAGAAGGAAGACGGTGGTGGTGGGTGTGAAGTGCGCCGATGAGAAATCCGCCTATGTCCGTTACCAGAGTGTGATCGCATCGCATCGAGGAATCATGGAGATTGCAGAATGACCAAAGAGAAGAAGGCCGAAGGGTTCAGCTTTTGGGCTTGAAGTTTGGGCTTAACTTTTGAAAGAGTAGATTGGAATTTATCAAGGTAAACTACAAAATTACAGTTTTGTCCTTTTATCTCCAACTTAGGGGTGTTTGGGATAGTTTTTCAGATCAAATAAAAAAGAACTTTTTGATTTATATTTTTTTCCAAAAAATAGATTTAAAATGTGTTTGTTTAAACTTTTGAGGGAATAAAGGAAAAAAAAAAAAAAAAGCAAAGTTACCAAAAATCACAAATTCATAACTTTTTAAAAGGTCCATTTTTCTTCTTCTCAAAAAGATAATTTAAAAGATCTTTTCCAATTACCAAACAACTTTTTAAACTTTTGACTATTTGAAAAAGCCAAAAGTCTAAAAATCATTTTAAAAGCAAAGCCAAACACCATCTTCATTTTTGTTTGTTATATTCTGATCCATCATATGCTTCTCCGGTCCAATTGAATGAGAAGGAGGGAAGAAAAGGGAAGCTGATAAAAACGGAAAGAAAAGAGGATTTGGAAGATAAGGGATAATCCTTTCTACTAATCTTCATTTCAAATTGGAGGCATTTGGAGGAAAGAAATCATATCCTAATCCCAATATTTTAAGTTTACATACCTACCCTTCAAAAAGACTATATAAACAGATCATGTATATACCGAGAAGCACATCACATACAAGAGAATTCTATACCTTCCTCAAGCCATTCGCCAAGTCTTCAATATGCTTGTTAGTTTCTTCCTTGAGCATGATATGTTTAATTTCTTCCTTAAACATTCTTCCGCAAGCATTTGTTCTTCCTTTGTCATTGACCCTATTGTTAATTTCATAGAGTTAGTTTCAGCAACAAATGAGAGTCTAAATGATTCCAGAAACAAGGTACGAGATTCTTTACTTGCACATGTAAAGTTTTCTTGTGAGAAACATCAAATAGACATGCCAGATATGAAAGTTTCATAAACTTCTATTCGATACCAACCTCAAAAAAAAGACAACCGTGTTACTTTTGAGCATTTTTATTGTAACGCCAAGGGTTTCATACCAGGTACACCAAAAAACATTTCATTTATCATTTAATAGTTTACAATAGTTTTGGTGTGCATTAGTACTCTGGAATAAAAGTAGTTATCACAAGGATCATACTGGTCTCAAGTATATGATCGAGTCGGACGTCACAAATATAAACTTGCAAACCAAATCAGCATAACAACATAAACCTCATGATTTAGTGAATAATAGCTACTAAAATTATAATCAAATATATCATATAAATCACATTATAACTTATTTTTCACTTAGTGAATAATTAATTTATGTAATTAACGGTGTTATCATAACCAATCTCTCCATGATGATCCAATTTTCATTCAAAATCTACTCCTCAATTAATAATCTATCTCTCTGTCATTAATCTACTTCTCAATCGTGATCATTCACCCAATCAATGATATATCCATCTCTCTCTCTCTCTCTCACACACACACAGAGACACACACTCATGATCTATCTCTTAATTCATAGTTTATCTATCAATGTCCATCAATATCATAATTTATCTTTCTCAATATTAATAATATTTCTATCTATTAAGATCTATCTCTTTCAATGGGAATTAACTCTGTCATAATCTATCACTTGTTCATGAATAATCTATCTATCATGGTTTATCTATTAATCATAATTAATCTTATCATTTATATTGTACTTTTCTATAATGATTTACCTCATAATAATGAATAATTTCTCAACAATAATCATTTATCCAAATCTTTGTATAATTCATGCATCGCATATCACATATATTACAAATGTCACATATATCACATATATCACAATAGAACCAGTCTATCTTTAATGTAATCCATCTCTCAGTTATACTCTATCTTATCAAAGACCTATATCTCATTTATAAATTATCTTTTTGTTAATAATTCATTTCTCAATCAAGATCAATCTCTCAACCATATATTATTCTCTCGGAATAATCAATCTATCAATCTATCAAATAATTACTTATTAATGATCAATCATTTATATCATGTATAACATATCAATGGATGTTAGAGTAGTGTTACTCGCTTGGTTAGACAATAGACTTATTCTAGTTCCGAGTTCAATCATTTGTTGTCTATAAGCTCGTCATGTGATATCACTTAATCATTAAATAACGAGTTTCTCAAAACTTGTTATAACTCACTACTAGTTACCCACAGTGACCTCTTGTCACCAAACTAATCAAATCTCTTAATATTAACATAATAGGATTAACCTATAAGTCTTTAGTTAAATCTCTCATAACGGGATTCACAAATATTAGGGTTTATAACCCTTACAGTCTCAACTAAATCTTTAATCGTAAGATTTACTCACCGATCTTACTAACGGGTTTGTAACAACACCATATCAAGAATACCCGTAACCCATATTCGGGTTAAATATATCTTAATAAATATAACATATCGAAATCATAAATTAATCGGGTAAAAAACTACCTCAATACATTTCGTAGTCGGCCCTATATCCCTCGTATAATTGTATAACATGTCTAGTATAATCTCCCAAGAACGGCTCCCGAGCAACATCTTTGATCGCATGCCAAAACCTCCCCAAATGATACAAAACACTCGTTTTTATACCCTGGGCATCGCTACGTCGTGGCCAATGTGCCACGATGTAGCCTTCATGTTTTGCCACGTATCACTTTCTTTTGCCCCGTGTCACAACTGACTCATTAAGTGCCACGTCGTGGGGGAATCAATTGCCACGTGTCACTCTCCAGTTAGCACGTGTCTTAGTGACTCATACTCATTGCCAAGTTGTGGGCATCAAAGGTTTATCGTTGACTTGCCTTCTATTGACTTTTTCATAATAGCAGTGTAGTTTCATCTAAACTTCAAACGTCCATAACTTTCTCATACAAATTGTGTTTTCAACAATCTTTATATCCACAGAATTCTCTCAACAAGCTCTGCAACATCAATAATTATCTTTTTCTAAATAACATTTCTCAATTTAAAGTAACTCCACACTCTATTTATCATACTCGCCTCATATCATTTTATATCTTCCGAAATGATATTTGGTCACGAAAGACAGGTATTACATTGGACAAACAGTTACATGAGTTGAATAGTAGATTCAATGATCAGACGATGAAGTTGTTAAGTCTAGTTCTAATTTAGTTTCAAAAGAACATCCTAAAGTGATTAACATTGATCAAATTTGTCTTCTTGTTGAGAAGTATTATCCTGAAGATTTTACCGAACAAGAGAGAATTCAATTATGATATTAATTGGAGATTTTTAATACCAACATGACAACGAATCTCAAGCTAAATGGTGTATCAACAATTGCTCACTTATGCAAGGGTCTTGTCGAAACTCAAAAATGTGAAATGTATTATTTGATTGATATAGTGGTTCAATCAATCTTAAAACTGCCAGTTTCTACGGTAACAATAGAGAGAAGATATTCATCAATGAAATTATACAACAACCGTCTTCGCAATAAGATATTAGATGACTTTCTCGCAAACAACTTAGTGGTTTACATTGAAAGAGAAATTGTTGAAAACATTGATTCAGATTCAGGAATTGATGAATTTAAAGACCTTAAATGTCATCAGTTTGAGTTGTAATTCTTCTTCTAAATATTTTTGGTGTTTAATTGCTGGAATTTTTTTTTTCTTTATGTATAAGAACAATTTAAGTATTTTGGTGTTTAAGTGCTGATTTTTTTTTTAGTTTTTTATATGTAAGAATGTTAATTTTAGTTTCTAATACTTTCGGCCCCCAAATTACTTGTTCAAGCTCCACTCCTGATCGTTGTCATCCTGTATAAATATCACAAACTCTTCAAAAATGATTTTGATATATGAATTAATTAAAAATAAATGAAAATCGGATGATGATGACCAAGTGTGAAATACTCAAATACATTTCACATAGACATTCTTGTTACAAAAATATATCCATTAGACCTTTCGACATACCAACAACGAAAAGGCTCGTGGTCTACGTGGTCACGAGCGTTGTTCGTGCACACCACCCCGACCTATCATGCTCAGGCGTTTTCGTGGTGGTTTGTGGTGGGAAAGACGAATGACAACGACCAATGAGAGAGAGGGTCTCTCTCAGCCTTCTGCTTCTTCCCTCTCTCTCTCTCTCTCTCTCTCTCTCTCTCTCTCTCTCTCTCTCTCCCCCTTCGTGGTCGTGCTAGGTATACCGGAGTTTGTTCGTTGGCTGTGATGGCTAGGTGGAGGTGGAGGTGGTTCGTAGCCCGTGAGATGTATAACAGATGATCTTATATTCGCCAACAATCTAATGAGTGGTTAGAGTAAAACGTTTTCTTTTAGGTACAATCCGTATGAAAATAAAAAAGTTTGACAGCTCGGAAAAATGAAAGAAAGAAAAATCATTTATGAATATGACCTAAATGCTCTAATCGTCACATGCCACTCAATTTTTCGGTTAAATCGATCAAGAAGTTAAAGTTGACTTGCGTGTGATGTGTTCTTTTTGCAAGCGCAATGACTTGTTATGCACAAAAGATTCGATAACATAAGTGATTCAACTGATAAAAACATGTTTTCATACGACACTGATCTAAAAAAATAAGACAACTTTTACTCATTTTGTCCTAAAAGAGGGTAACATTGTTTTTGCGTAAAATTATGAAGTTCTTTTGCAACATTCAGGTGACGTTATAAATTTTCTTGAGGTTAACTTTTAACTTATTTAGAGGATGTGGTTCTTGTACGCATGATAGTGAAATATTTTAATTTTTATCACATTATGTAAACAAAACATCATTATTTAAATTTCATTATTCGATATTCAAGAAAAAAAAATCGTTGAAATGAAAAGCATTACTTGTTAACTTTTAAAATATTTAATCCACCGTTTAATAATAGTTTCATCAAATTATATTTCTTAAATAAGTTTTTTAATTAAATCACAGGTCATCATATTATACTCTATTATTAATCAAAGCCACTTAGTTCCCACCTTGCCATGATTAACA